GTGTTGTATTAGTAATAAAAATTTTGTTCAGCATAGAATAAATATGTAAAAAATATATACTCATAATAGTATAATAAAAGTCTCTAATTTCAGTCATAATATTAAATGTTTGCCTATTTGACAACACAATGCGGAGATATTTACGATTTATTAAAGTTTACGTCAAGGTTTTGTCTCGCTGCTCCTCCCAAGCGGCAATGCCATTACGCTTTTATTAAAGCGTTTAATTGTGGCTAAATCAGCACAAATGACATTCAAACTTTAATGAGCGTAAAGTCAAGTACATTTCACACTTACTTGGGCACATTGATTGTTTATCTGATAAGTTGTTGCAACTTCATTTTTTTCATTTATTTTTAACTCAGATTATCGTTATATTCCCGAATAAATTAGTGAGGTTAAGAAGAAAAACTGAATGTTTACTAAACTGCAGAAATATGAAAGCGGAGTGGACTAGTGTGTTGACTAGTTTGTAGGGGTACTCCCCTAGGGGCATATTATCACCTCTACAGTGGTAATTTATTGCAAAAAGGGCTGCTGGAAACGATTAGCAACGTGATGGAGAACACTCTAAGAGTCATAAACTTCAGAGGTAAGTGCTGGAAAAACGAATACGGTATAAGAAAGTAGAAAGTCCACGCGTGAAAACCTCTAAGTCTCAGTAGGGTGAAAATAGTCATTAAAAACACACTAAGAATCTCGTAGTAGTTTCACATAGAGAGAGAGAGAGAGAGAGAGAGAGAGAGAGAGAGAGAGTTAAAATAGTGATATTCTCGCATGTAAGAGGAAGCTAAGTGCAACGTGAGGCCTATCATCTGGTTTAAGCCTACTCTTTGATGTTTTCTTATGGCATATCGCTGCAATCAAAATACCGCACAGAAAATCGTCAAAAAATGGCTGCCGCACTCTGCACGACAGAAACACAAAAACTATTTTGATGGCTGCACTCGAAAAGTTACCCAAGTCTTTTGTGTGACTTGTGGCCTTAGATGAATTATAAAATCTTTGACCACATTATTGATAGAGTGCCCACCAAAAACTATTGCTCTAAGCTGAATCTTAGCCAGCTTTTCATGTTTTTGAAATGAGACAAAAAACGTCGCTGTGCTTGTTAACACCTCCAAACCATCAGAAAATATATATGTTGATGACCATCGCATCGACTGCGTCAAAAATGAGCTTGGAAGCAGTGGAGCAGTCGATGGAGGCCATTTTGCGTACATCCGCGACCGAAAACGCTAAAGACTCTATGCAATGACATTTGCACTAGAGCTAGAAGGCAGATCAATGCGAGGTAAACGGTTTTAATAGTCAGTCAGTCAGTCAGTCAGTCAGTCAATCCTTCAACAAAAGTAACCACACCCATTTTTCGTTAACTTGGCTAAGAAAGGACTGCAGGACATTAGATGGTCTAATGACAAGTCACAACCTGCTGATTGTGTGTGACGTAGCCTGGAATCCTAACACTCTGCCGCTAAAAGAAACATATAATGCTTTGCATGTTTTTCACTTATGATTGTGATTCTTCGGTTTGCTTTACTTCACTTAATGGGGCTGGTAAATGCATGATCCTATTCCGTGGGCATATATGTATATATATTCTCATAGTTCCAATGTGAAACATAAGACCTCTCGGCTTGCACAGTCAAAAAATTTAAGATGAGTACATAAGTAACTTGCTGCCTAGATCCGGTCTTACCGGTATAGTCTTTGTGCTCACATGAACGTGGGTGTTTCCTACGCTCTGATCGCACGTACCGTGAAAAGGTTTGCTTACAGTTTGGGAAGGATTGACTATGTTTGAGTTCCGAGAGTCATCACTCTTTATTTAGCTCATTAGCCTCAATGATAATATGCACTGGTCAAGTCCCTCTCAAAATTCGCAGAAAGCATTGATGCCCTTCGTGACAGCTACTTTACCAGCCTACAAGTATAACCTCATTTAACCTGACTATTGCCATATTTAAAAAAATATAGCCTGAGATTTAAAATTTACCGCCACATATATTTTCTCTTTTACAATCGTTCATTTAATATACTTTGATTCCTTCTATATGCAAAAACTACTTATTCTTCCTTCAGAATTTAGTTTTATTCTTGTCTAACAATCAGCAAATGCCTCTTTCCACAAAGTGTGTAAAATATTTATTTGAGTTCGAATATTATTTTTAATCAACCGCATTGTGTTCCGATAACAAGCTCAAGTAGATTTTGCATTTTCATTTTACTGAGTGACTTTCAAGTCTCGCCGCATTGCGCACATACACAGGAAGAGACATATACTGGATTTAGCAAATGTTACAGAAGAGTTTAAAGTGTCGCACACATGTGCACAAATATATTTATATATGTGTGATGACACAAAGTTTTCAATGCAATTCAACTCTTGAAATTTTTCTTCAAGTTATCTGAGGTTGAAAGAGTCAAAAATGTATGAGAAATCGTACGTAGAATAATAGTACATATTTATAATGCTAAGTTTGTTTACAGTTTTTAAAAAATAAATAACAATATTTTATTACATATTCAACAGCATTGAATGGAATATATTTATAAGGTATATATGTAATTGGCCGATCTCCTCCTCCATTTTGTAATAATTGTCTTAAAATTTTCCCTTAAATTGGATGAACTTACAGTATATTTCCGAGCGGCTGATGGATTTTTATAAGAAGCCTTTATTTCATGTCGTAAATACACTCCCTCCGATGCTTGGTTTTTATATTATCAAAATAAAAACGCTAATGTAAATTGGATAAATCAAGTGAAACCAATTCACTCTCTGCCTGTTTCTTGCAAAAGAGTATACCTATAATGCATTCATAAATGGAGCCAGAATATCGCTGTCTCTTCATTCGCTGAACTATATCAAAATCCCCGTTCTTGGTGTTCGATGAAGCTAGTGCATAAATGATCATAAATCGTTCGCAAAATTTTTCTCTTGAAGATTCCCAAGGCATACTTATCGGATGTCGTCAGATTGTCCGTGCACAAAAAGTTTATAGCTATTGCGCCTGCTCAAAATTCATTGATTGTTCTTCGCCAGTTATGGCAACGAGTAGCTTTTTCTTATTTCAAAAAATGAAGAAAAGTTTAAAAGGTCACCCTTCACAGCCGCAGAATGAGTTTGAACTTTGAAGTGCACAATCTCTAAGTGGGGACCATCTCGAAGGCGACAAACTCAGTGTTAAATATATATTCATATAAATATTTTTTCAGAAATCTTGTATAAATAGTTTTTAAATAATTTCTAACTTGCACTCCTTTTCGCTAAATAAAACCATTTTTATCCCAACCAAATTTTTATAATTAATGTGCCCGCTTCTAACATAGATTATGCCTCCAAAGGCGTTTACATATGCTTTTCCAGCAAAGAAGCAGTGCATACCGTGGAAAACTTTCTAGTAACAAATTTTCCAACTGACTGCATTTGACTATCCTCAACTATGAGACAACAATAAACACCAAAAAGGGAAAATGAATAATAAAAAAACCACGGCACACTTTGTCACTTTATTTTGGACAGCAGACACGATAAATGCTCGTATGTAAGTGCTGGTGGCAAGTTGACAAATGTGGTGTACCGAAAATAAATAGAAAAGTTGAGTTTAAAGCTAAAAGCAGAGCAGTGGACGCTAGTGAATGGAGAGAAATTATCATTTACTATTATTACAAGCACATGAAAAGAGCCAAAGCAAGAGAAACTCAAAAGAGAGATCTTGGATTTTAGTTGCTCTTTAATTAACTCAATACACAGCTTAAGGCCACTATTGTGTTACACTCGTAGGTCTTAAGCAAAGCCAAGCTTTTTGTGTGAATGAACTTTTCTTCATGTGTGGCTCGCATGTTTCTACAATTTCTTTAGCGGGAACTTGCCGGTTTCGGTAAGTCTTACATATCTTAGCCAACTCTGCTTTGCGAAAACACAGCTTAACACGATCAGTTAACGAACTAGCTTGAAACGCAACGGTCGCGTGTGCGGAAAATACAGTGACAGCGTCTATGCAATGAAGAGTAATCTGCATAGTTCGTTATTTGCCTTGAACTTGCTTTTGTTTGTGTTTTTTTCGTTTGATATTTTTGTTAACTGTGTTACAAACAAGTTTTGGGTGAAGTGAAGTTGCAACAACTTTGGCAACAGGCGAAATTTTTTTGTAAATTATGCCAAAATCTTGTTGTCGAGTGAGTTTAGAGTGTGAATGTGAGTGTGTAATTTGGTAATCAAGATGCTTAATCATTCCACCGGTCGAATATAATCGGGTTGATTTCCCTTTCGAAAATTGTGATTCTCTTGCCGTCAGAGATGTGCTTCCGGACAACAGCAGTGAAAGAAATTTTTTGCGAACCACTTAATATTATTTTTCTTATTATTTCTACCGACAATTGAAAATAATATGTAAATAAAATGAAAAACAATTACATATATTTAAAACAAATATATAGATTAATATAAAAAAAAAAAATAAAATAAAATTAAAAAAAATTAAATGCAATAAAATAAAATAAAATAAAATAAAATAAAATAAAATAAAATAAAATAAAATAAAATAAAATAAAATAAAATAAAATAAAATAAAATAAAATAAAATAAAATAAAATAAATTAAAATAAAATAAAATAAAATAAATTAAAATAAAATATATATAATATAATATTAGATTAAATTTTATATATTATATATAAGTTAAATTGAAATAATGCCTTTGGCAAATATTTTTGTTGCTTTACATACTTTGTCTTAAAATCAATTAGTGAAAATAATTTCAATTTCACGTCGTTTGGTATGCAGTACGCATTTATGTAGGTATGTCCATTCGCATATGTATATGTATGCATAGGAAAGCTATAAAAGTATGTACAAAATAAATTGAAAATAAACGAGTTGATTTATTAACATTTTTCGGAGTTTATTGCACAAGCACAAAAAAATGAAATACAAAATAAATCAGTGAGTAAGATAAACCAAAAATACGAATAAATAAGAGAAATCAAAAAAAAAATCTAAAAATCTCCCGAATTGCAATTTGAAAGTAAAAACATATTTTTTCGCCACTCCAAGTGAAAGGAGGAGTTAAATGCTCTCGAAAAGGCGCCATAACAACCAAACAGCAGTCGCCACGCACTTAAACCTGTTCAAATTTGTGGCTTGCTGACTTGACGTTGCATCCTTTTCTACTTCAGTTTTTTATTTTTCGATTTTGTTTTGATTGCATATTGTGGCAAGTGAATGCAGTTTTATGCGTCAAGTGGACGCTTGAAATGAAATTTTTTTATATTATTTATTTTATAGTCGACGGTTTCTGTACATTTGTGTAGTAGCTAAATACATATATAAATTTACCTGGTCGTGTGTGCTTTCAGGTTGAGTTGTAAGCAAGTTTATGTGCTCCACGAAGAACGTACAAATAAATATAGAGAAATAACACACATGCATCAGTGAAAAATTATACGAAAGCGTCTTTACTTGAATAGTGAAATTTTCAGAGAAGTAACGGTTCTGTCAACGCACTTCATCTCAGCACACAGACACTTTTTTGGCGAAATGCATAATTAATTGCATTACTCAACCGAAATTGCAGTGCTGCAAAAGAATTTTGTTGGCGAAAGTTGCGCGTTTCCATGGAAACAGCAATGGTAAGAGTATATAAGTTTTCTTGGGTTTGGTAATGCTTTTACGAAATTTCACTTTAATTTTAGGTAATTTTCTAAATAATACTTGATAGACGCTTCAAAATATTTTTGCTAATCTTCAATAATTGGCTCTTCTTTTAATTGCCAATTAGGTAAATTTACAACAACAACAACAACAACGTTCTGTACTAAAAAACCTTTAATAATAAGGTTGCTGAGTGCAAAATAAATTAATTTTGAATTTATGAATTTCAAAGTATTCAAAACTCAGCCCACGGCAATGTTTCTATTTTCGTCGGCATGTTTTCAATGTACAACATTAGTTTAGTTGGTTTCAAGCAGGTACATATAAAGAAGGAAGGGTTACGTTGGTTTCAAGCAGGTACATATAAAGAAGGAAGGGTTTAGTTGCACCCACCATGAATTTTACTGTGCTAAAATTAATAAATAACTAATTTTACGCACTAAAAGGAGTGAAAATGACAAAATTATCATAAACAAAGATATACGTATAATTTTCAAAGTTTTGCGAATCAATTATTTGTGTATTCAGTGAATATTTTTAAATTTTTCTGACAGCCTCAAGTCACATCATTTAAATAATAGCATAACACAGACTTTAATTTATTTACCTAATAAATTTCCAAATATCAACATATTAATGCTCACATCATATAACATTTTAATATTAATTAAAAACACTAGCTTCTATAGCGTTCCAGCTTTACAAATATTAACTACTAACAAAAATTGTAAACAATTTTCATATATTTTAAATTTTTTGGATTTTTGCTGGAACTAATAATATAAATGATACATATTTTTAAGCACGCTTTGAAGCGCTTTGCTTTGCCAACACTCATCTGCCATGAATTTTGCCACTTTGTTGCAACCAAATAAGTTGTTGAAAATATTTAAATCGCCCTCAACGACACTTCGGAGTACATACTCACATACATATGTAACTAAAAGTGATAATTACGGAATAAGTGTTTTTCATTCGAAAATTAATTGGGTGAACTGCGCATCACTTATGAATTCAATGAATTGTGAGATAATTTTGTTCAAGTTGAGCTTCATGTATTTTATTATGTTATTGTTTATAATATTTATGAAAAAAGTTTGTGCGTACGATAAAAATACCTGTCTCTTATTTAAAACAATAATTCCACTTTTGCGTTGCTTTAACTGGAAGTGATACCATTTTATGATGGTCATATGATTACATGTCGTGTGATATATTTATCACGTGATTATGTGATGCAACCAATGGTTTTGTAATAATTTAGTATGTTTTAAATATTATTTTATTGCGCTGAGCAAGATAATTCAAAATTTTAATAATAAAATCTAGATAATTTGCACTAAATTAAACTTAATTATATAAAACAAAATTATAATAAATAAGGATATAACATAATTTTAATTAAAATTAAAATTAAACAAAGTAATATAACATAAAATGATAAATAAATTAAAATTAGCTACTAATAAAAAAGCAAAATGAAATGACATGAAAAAAAATAAAATTTATTAAAATAATAAAAAATAATGTAGAATATATAAAGTAAATTAATATAAAATAAAAGAATAAAATAAATAAAATTAAATAAAAGAATAAAATCAAATTAAGTAACAAAAATGGAAAAAAACCAAAACAAAGTATTATTTAGTAAAAAAAAACTAAAAGAAGTAAAATAAGAAAAAACTCAAATGAAGTAAAAAAAAAAAACAAAATTAAATAAAATAAAACAAAATAAAATAAAAAAAAAAAAACTAAAAGAAGTAAAATAAGAAAAAACTCAAATGAAGTAAAAAAAAAAAACAAAATTAAATAAAATAAAACAAAACAAAATTAAATAAAATAAAACAAAACAAAACAAAATAAAATAAAATAAAATAAAATAAAATAAAATAAAATAAAATAAAATAAAATAAAATAAAATAAAATAAAATAAAATAAAATAAAATAAAATAAAATTAAAATTAAAAAAATAAATTAAAACAAAACAAATAAAATACTATAAGTAAAGTGAAATAAAACAATATACAGAAGTAAACGGTAAAATAAAATACATTAATTTAATTTAATTCAATTCGAAAAAGGCAAACAAATATAGTTTTTGTATTAAAATGAAATAAAACAAATTATTGATATAAAAATTGCCAAAAAATTTTTAGCTTTAAGAATTTAATATGATTTTGTTGCTCGCTTTGTATATTTGATGTTTTATTTTGGCCAGACACCGTAAAATCGTAAACATCAAGCACTTTATTTTACCCGCTGTTGTGACAATAAATTTGTTTCTTATACTTGTTTATTGTTACTCAATTGAAAATTGATGAAATTGATAATCATCGGGTTGCAGGGACATGAATGACATGGCGAGTTTTAAGAGATATATATTTATTTTCAATGTGTATATGGAGAAGATTTATGAAAATGCAGTGGAACTAGAACAAGTACAATTCGTAGAAAACCATTTTTGATTACCACTTTGAAATATATTTTCTGAAAATATGCCAAATTAAGAAATCAATTTTTCTAATTGCCGATTGTGTGGAAAAATCCTTTCAGTGGTTACATAGCGACATTTATATATAATAATATCTTTTTATTGATATTACGTAACGCGAAAAAATTAAATAATATTTTTTACTAATTAGTTTAACCATAAATCTCTTTTGAATTATTCATCATACTTATACTTTCCACTTTATGCCGAAAGTTCCGTGTTGATTTTCGTGTTCCCCTCTTCATTTTACCTTCAACTTTTCCTTCTCATTCTCACAAATAGCTAGACTGCGACCATCACGGAATCAAATTCATTTTAACAGATACGAGTATATTAATGAAGCTGTTGAAACCAATCCAAGCTCGCAGACACAGTCTCTTTCAAATTGACCACTCTCGTAGACAGGAAATTGTGTGAGTTTGCTTTGTTTGACACTTTCTTTTATACAAAAATTGCCGCATTGCGTGGTAGGAAAGAAAAAATAAAACAAAAAACTTTACCAATTCGCTGAAATGTAAACAAAAACCAAAAATTCAAATCTCACAAATGCAGAAAGCGTTTACTCTTTGAAATATTTTTCCAATGACTATAAGCAAATAATAATATAACCGACCACAAACACAAACGCAATATAAATATACGTAAACTCTTCTTCACTCGTTGTGCATACAAATTGAAGAAGTTATATACGAGTATATACGTATGTATGTTTTCACTCGTATTTCACTGTCACACATCATTTCACCTTAGTTGGCTGAGTGCAGTCCGGTGAAAAGTTTTCAATTTAATATGCACTCGGTTGTTAATTATAAAGTCATCGCTGGTCGTCTTTACCTACGGCGATGAGCTGTACGTTGGATGTTAATTAAAATAATTATAAGCATTTTTTGTGCAACTAACCATTAACTAATTTAACGAAGTCAGTTGTAGTTGGTGACAAAATTATTTTTAATATACTATTGGTATTTCCAAAGAAGCCTTTTTCATTAGCCACAAGAGCCTAACAGATTTTTCAATTTAAAAGTTTATTTCATTTATAACGAATTAATTTCGAAGTCAGAGAAGCTCAACTAACGAAACGATACCATTTTGTTTTGTTAATTTAATAAATAAACTTTACGAAAAAAATATGCTTCGTTTCGGCGCCATGTTATCGAAACGAAATGATATTGTCAATATTGAAAGCGCACAAACTCATCGTTAGCGTTAATTTAAAAACAACTGATTGCTATGATATTAACAGAAAACTTAAATTTTAGCGTTTAGCATTCTCCATTGACGATTTAACATTTTGTTTGAACGCTTCAGCATTTGCTATTCACGTTTAACATTATCTGTTAACGATTTAACATTATCTGTTAACGATTTAACATTATCTGTTTAACGTTAACGAATAATGATTTACCATTGACTACAGCATTTCGTGTCTGGCGGAAATGAATTAAAATTTATTTTGATAACTGTTTTAATGATAACATTCCATAATGTCTTACCCGAATAGATTGCATATTTTTGATTAAAGTGAATTTAATTGTTACGACGCAGCCTTGATCGAAATACATGCATAATAAATAAATGAAATGTATACTAAAAAGTTTAATTGCTTTAATATAATTGCGTTTACTACCGTCGCAGTAGGATATAACAAAATTGAGTTAAGAATACGAAGTTTCTTAATTTTTAAGTTTCGGTGCTTATCTTAACAGTTTTAATAATAATAATAATAATAATAAGCTAGATATTGTGTTATAGACCAACGTCAATTTCATTACCTCTATTTAATTTAAAATGTTTATAAGTTTTTGTAATAATCGATACAATTCTTGGAGCATTGGTACGCCTTAAACGCTGAGAGTGCTTGAAAGTTTAAGCACTGAGCTCTCTGCAGATTTGTATGTATGTAAATAAAATGTCTGACGTTTAAGATAATGCATTTGTTGGCCACTCAAAGACTTCTACGAAAACAAAAATCTCAATCAAATACCTTATAGAGAAAAGGATTAAAATTTAGAAGGAAACAAAACATTAAAATATCAGTCGGTTAAAATTGGCTTAGCACTCAAAATATAAGCACTTTTGTTTAGTATGCGTATATATAAATATAAAAAGAAATTATTTATTTTTAAAAAACACATAAATTCAGAAAAATGCATGAAATATTTTTATGAAACAATGGTACGGTCCATATAATTTAATGTTTGAATATTATTTCATGCAAATGTTCTGAGTTAGTCCAATTTTTGCATACTCTTTCAAACATTTCGGCCGGTATCTCTCGAATAAATGTTTCAATGCTGTTCTCCAATGCGTCGATTGAAGCTGACTTGTCTGTATAGACATTAGATTTAACATAACTCCACAAAAAATAGTCTAAAGGCGTTAAATCGCACGATCTAGGCGGCCAAATGACCGGTCCCGAACGTTAATTAAAATGTTCACCGAACTCGCCTCTCAATAAGCCCATTGTTACGCCTACTGTGTGGCATG